TTGTTTCTTTTTTTCTGTATTCCAGCATTCTATTTCATAAACTGTAAGTAAAAATCAAGCAGAAGTAGTCCTTCCAGCAGTAATATTCACATACTGTGAAAGTTTTGAAGTTAATGTCTTAGAACATGAAACTTTGGTAAATGTTTTATGAAATGTACTGTGTGCATGTACTTGCACTCTTGCATCTTGGTGAAGCTGAATAAATAAAATAAAAATTCTTCATTGCATTTTGCTCTCATAGAGCTGAACAGCATCTGGTCTTTTATGTTCTTCCTCAAGGTTAGCTGCTTTCCATTAGACTGTGGCTCTTTAGAATTTGCTCTCTTGTGTCAAAAAGCCAAGGCTGACTGTTAGGAGATGTGCAGGAAAAAAACCACCATGCTTTATCTTTTCATTATGGAAAATATATTGATTCCAGCTACAGTTCACTTCTGTTTTAAGGAACAAAAGCATTTGTCTCCTCAAACAACATCAAGAATATCACAAACTTTGGAAAATTGAAAAAGAAAGACAGATTTTTACTTATAACACAAGATTATCTTCCCTGTTCCAAATTCCCAGTGGCGCACCAATCATCAGGTCCCAGAGAAACTCACCACTGAAGGCAATGAAAAAACTCTCCAAGGAGTAGATTTCAATTGCAACAGATTGCAATGCCAGAGGGCAGTCTACAGCTGAGCGTGAAATTCATTAATGGAAATGCAGATATTCTGTGTTAGGGAGTACAACAGAAGAAAAATGTGCCAGTCTTAAGAAAGTTTCTGATCTTTTGAAGTAAGTGATTGACTGGTCTTCAATCTCAGGATGATTTCAGTACATTTACATGAAACTTGCACATTGTTTTGGTGTGACTGATAAAGTGCATTGCTGTAGACATTGGCATCCTCAGAATTATAATCCAGAATTCCTTCTGGTGATGACTTTGAGATCCAGTCTCCATTTTTTCCTCTTGCCACTCTTACTTTATCCTGTGAAATAATGTCTTATTTGTGACAACAATTATTTTTTATTTACACACAAGAAATGGATCTTTCTAAGGTGTGGTTTCCCATCCTGGTCAAAATTATTTCTTCAGTTTAGCACACTATGCAATTAGTAATCTCTTTGTAGGTAAGTAAGTGGTACATGGCAAACATCTTCCATTTGGAGTCATACAGGGAACATTTTTGTCATGCAAAGAGGAGCTGAAAACCGATCCTCAGATTCCAATCAGAGAAACAATGACTGCAATTTAAAAAGGATTGTATTTAAATCTGATAGGTTTGACACATCACTGAAAATAAGTAAAAACTAGTTTTCAGTCTAGAATAGATGACGGAAATGTTGATCTGTCATTCAAATGGGAAAGAATGTGTAGAAATACTAAGCCATTTCTGAATAGGCGAATGTCCTAATTGATGTGTACACTTATAGTCTTTGTTGGATGGGGTTTTTTAAGTGTGGGGTTGGGTTTTATTCCTTTTAAAAAGCTTGGAGAGGCATCACTGCAGGAAATATAATCAAGTACCAGTGCTAAAAGTTTGTGGGAAAATTACCTGTAGCAGGAAGAAAAAGAAAGAGAAATACAATTGTGTTCTTTGAAGTTGAAAATATGAGAACAGTTGAAAACAAAACAGTGCAATTAATTGTTTTAATATGTTTATTTAGGGAACAGGTCTGTGGTGTTACTTATTTTCTTCAATCAAATGTGAGGTGAAAAATGGCAGTGTTGGTTACCTTGAGGTACCCTAGCAACAACATTATAGCTGCCACTTGCACCAGTGTGCTTGACGAAGCACTGCTCTCGCACTCAATTAAACTCTCATGCTGACAGGAAAAAAATGGATCCACTTTGTTGCACACTGTCAAACATGCTTTGCCTTCCAACCTCCATTATTCTAGCTAAGCAAAAATGTATCAAACCACTTAAATGTGCCTGTCACTGAAAAAAAAAAAAAAAGAAAATGACAATAGGGTTTTAAAAAGAAAATTTATGAATACCCTTCCCAGCTTTCTGCAAACATCAATAACATTTATTACACATTTCCAGTTGTTAGAATATTCCAAGGAACTTCTAGAAATGGATATCACATCCTTCTTTTTTATGTGATGCCTTTCTTTTGTCATGATTTTTTTTTATAAGCAGACAATTATTTTCTTTAGCTGAAAAATGATCATATAAGGTCAAACCTTTGTTCTTTTTTGTTATGGCAATGTAAATTTTCCTCATAGTTGGAAAAATCACTATCTGAATGTAAGGCAGACCCCTCTGTTCTCATGATAAAAGCTCACTACATGGCAGCCCAGTAGGCAACATGATGATAGGAAAGTGGACAGCAAGCCACATCCTGGAGATTCCTGCATACTGCCAAACCACTTGCGGTGTTATAGAGACTGCCACAGAGCACAGTTGTCCTTGTAAAGGGAAAGGCATGACTCTCCCTTCTGAAGGAAAGCTAAATGGCAAAGGTCTCTTTAATCCTGCTGGGCGAGGCTCTGATACAGCTGTGTAACTGACTTGCTTTGACACTAATTTAGCTCACTCTTCCTTCTGATGCTTTGAGACTGCAAGGGAAAAGAATGTTTGCCACACTGTTGTCCTCAACATTCTGCCAAGTAACTGTTAGCAGCTAAGCAAAGTGACATCTGTGCATGTGGCAATTGTCTTTAGTCTGAAGCTATTTCTCTTAAATCTGAGCCGGAGGGCTTGAATCACCATTTCCCCTCGTCTTGCCAATTGCAGGGTGTTATTTTTACACAATTTTTATTTTTGAAAATAACTACTGAAATCATCCACACTGAAATAATAAACTCTGTTATCAAGTACTATTTATATTTGTATTCTGATTTTTTTTCCCTTACACTAATTTGAGATCTCTGAGAATTTGAAAAAAAAATACAATTTAATGGATCTGATTCAGCACTCAAAGCTTTCTTTTCCCATTAAATAAATTCCATTTTTAACTGCATTTAAATATTCTATATAATAACTTTATTTGAATTTTTTTTTTCCTGTGTGGAAATAAATTCTTTAAATGAAGATATCTAGTGTCATTTTGATGCTCTCAGCCATCCCATCTGTCCCCCAGTTCCTCCTCCAGATCCAGGCATGGGTTTCCATAGGTTCTATGGCATGTTCATAAAGCACATTTACATGTGCTTGAGTATGCAAATACATCTAAAATAACATCATATAGCTCATTTAATGCAAGTACATTTTCCCTTTTTTCTCACTCTTACCTGCACAAGCAATAGCCAATATTGTCTTTCATAGTCTGGAATAAAGACAGTAATGAAACAAATATGTTGTCACCACATTTACTCTTCATAATCTTCCAAAATAGACAGGTTTTCTGATTAAATTATTCTCAGATATAGAAAGTAGAAATAATACTTCTTTTGTAATAACTGAAATTTTGATTTATGAAAACCAAGTTTTACTTCCATAACAAACTGGTAACACCTCAAAAACATTAATACGGGAGATGATTTGTTAACAGAGACAAAAGATGGTCAGATCCTTAAACTACAGAAATTAGTATAGCACCATAAAAGTTTTTATGTCTATGCAAATATGAAAGAAATGAGAATCTGACTTTCATATGTAATATAGGAAATTTTTCTGTCAAAAACTTATGTAGAAGAATATGAAGAACTCTAATTTGTGTATACAAATAGTTAAGACATGGACAGCATTTTGAACTAAAGAATATATCTTTTTACTTTGAGTTTATCAAGATTTCAATGCTAAATTTAGCATACATATCTATACACGTAGTAATTAAGCTGATTTTTCACTGTACAAATAGGAATTAGAAAAAAAAACCAAAACAAACTCATGCATAGTCAGTTTACAAAATGTTTACTTGGAGGAAGATAAATGCAGGTCAGAAATTGTGTTTTGGCACCACATCAGTCATGCACAGAAATTGAATGACCCTACTGAACTTAGAATAAGTTGCTTCTGTCCACATGGCAAGAGTGAGAATCATTGTGTTTAACTCCCAAGAAGTTTTAAACTTGTGCATGCAGAAGTTGCTGCCTTCTTTAAAAAGTGACCTTTAAGAAAAAGACATTTAAAAAACTCTTTATTTCTTTTTCATTAACAGAGAGCAGTTCCTTGATTAGCTTGAAAATTAGCCAGGAATAAGCTTTTTCTTTTCTTGTGAGTTGGAAAGAAAAAAATACAAAATTATACAGAATAAATAGTAAATATAAATCTAGCGAGAATTCATTGCAAAAATAAACCTGCAGTGTTCTATGTGTTTGTAACCTATTTTTCCCACAACACTTTATTTTCTTCTAATTTCAGAAAATATATTTTTGTACAAATAGCTAAATACTATTATTCTTCCTCATTTGTGTATTGTTGCAGTTATTCTGTCTGAGTGTTGCTTTTGGTTAGGGTGGAAAAGGACCTGTATATGCACTTGGAAATTCCTAGCCACAGCAAACTCATTTCCTTCAAGAATATTTAAAGCCAGCACAGAAGTTATTTATATACATATGTATATATATATATAAATCAAACTTATTAAACACAGTAACATATTTACAGCTGATTCTCAGTAGCTTTTCAAATTACCCAGGATTATGAGTCGAAACACCAGTGATGCACAATATCTTATAGCAGCAGCTCAAGAAAAGATTGTCCAAACTTAGGTAAAGCTATCAGATAGGGAAAGTAGCAAAAGGCTTGCAGTTTTCTTTGTTGAAGATGCTGGGTAAACATAGATACATATTTTTCCTTCCACATACTGATACAGAATTCACACAAAGTTCTGTGTAGAATACTTAAATATTTGCAGGCTCTGGGTGAATACACAAAAATATTTTATCTGTTTTCCTTTTTAACTGGCATTTAGTATGCCAACTTTTCAATTCCTTTCATATTTATTATAAAGGTATGTAAGGTGTAGTTGTAGACAGTGGCCGTGTATGCAGTGCATGTACTAACCTAACATATACACTCTAAGGTTATAAATACAAACACAGGTGTTGGAGTTTTCTTTTTTTTTTCCTTTTTTTTTTTTTGATCTTTTTGGTTTTTTTAAAGGAATCTAATTAAATGGAGGGGAAAAAAGAAAGGGTGAAGGTAATGAACCGTTTTTTTCCATAGGCTGGCAAACAGAGAAGAGAACGGAGAATGGCATACACACCTTTTCAAAATGACGAGGAATAGTGCAATAAGCAGTCTTCCTCCCACAGTTCAATCACACTAAATTCTTGCTTAACTTGGGGTGTGACATATTGCCTGTTCACAACCCCATGGCTTCCCACAGTGATCCCTGAGTTTTTCTTTGCTAGGATTACTGCTGTGCTTAAGTTCTGACTGTTGACATGTTTTTATAAGGCACTTTTATGTACAATGATTCCACCTTAAAGTAAAACCACAGAAATTCGGCCCTGGCCCAACATATTATCACTTCACGTTTGCTGCTCCAGGACTTCCAGATAGTCAGGCTCAGCATGTAAATTAGCCTTGAGCTCAAAATACTCATTTTTAGTTTGTTCTAGAAAAACCTTTCTTGGCCTGGAGTACATGAGTGTCTCCATTAGCTTCAACTCTTCATGTGATCCAGGATAACGAACTTCCATGTCAGGCTGGAGCTGCACAATATTTTTCCTTAGGTATTCTGTGATCCCTAGTTGCTGCAGCTCTCTCTCTTTTTCAAGAATGTTTCTGTACAAGCAACTAGCATCCTGAAAAGACAGAAATTCAGCAGATTGATCTGTAGCCTTGTATTTGACATTTGGACCTGTAAGTGGGGAACTGTTCTCTCTTTCTAGAAGACTTCGGCGAAGGTATTTAGAATCATTTGCTTCCTTCTCACTTCCCTCTTCCTGCTGCTGCTCAGTGTGCTTGGGGCTGAAGGATGGGCTGTGGTATACCTGAACCATGGGGGTAACTATTCGTTGCTCATAGAGAGTTGCAGCTGGGCGCTCCGTGGTGTGGTGTGTTGTCTTATGCCCATACATGCTGTACTGAAGGTGAACAGGGCTGCTGTCCCTCACTTGTTCATCCACCTGTTTCTTTTTGCATCTCCGGCGCCGGTGCAGAACAAGAACAACTATTCCTGCTGCACAAAATACAATAGTTATAAACACAATGAGCAGTCCTAATATTAGAACAGAAAGTGGGACAGCATCTGTAAGGGACCGCAGGATAGTGTCTGCGGTGTTGGCAGTAGGAGAAGAAGTTGTCACAACCACAAAACTGGCATGGGTTGGTAGGGCAGGGCTGTTTATTAAACCTGGACACAAGACTTCACTGTTTAGGGATTTCAATTCTTTTTTTGCTAAGTGCCCAGGAGATTTACAAAAAATATCACCCATCATGGTATTTTTACTCAATTTTTGTATCCATTTTTGCAGTCCAACTGAATCACAAGTACAGTCCCAAGGGTTGTCTTCAAGTTCAATTTGTACCAGCATATCCAGTTCATCCAAGACATTGCTCACAGGTAAATGAGCAAATTGGTTTGTTTTCAGATTTAGTCTGGTGAGGGGAACACCTGAAAAGATATGGGGTGGCAAAGCCTGCAGAAGGTTGTTATTTAGGTAGAGAACTTTCAGTTTTGGCATTACATTAAATGTCCCTGGCAAAACTTCTTTGATGGCATTATATTCAAGGTACAAGTACTCAAGGTGCTGAAGGCCAAGGAAGAGATTTTGACTTAGCTTTGTAAGATGATTGCCATTGAGATATAGTTTCTGTAGTCTGGTCAGATTCATAAAAGAGCCTTCCTCAAGGATTTCAATGCGATTGTTCCCCAGGTGAAGCATTTCCAGGCTGGCATAGTCCACAAGATCTGATTTCAATAGTGTCTGAATAATGTTTCCAGCTAGGATAAGCTTTTTAGGATTTGGAGGAGGGGGTCCTAAATCAGACAAGCTTTCAATATTTCGCTCCTGGCAGTGCATAAGAACTCCTGAGAGCATATGGCTGGTGCAGTGACAAGGGACAGGGCAAGAGATTCCTGGAAACGTAGTAGGCTTGGAAGTATGAAGCGCTAAACTTGGTTCTTTAGTAGGAGCTTTCAGGAGAGGAATCACCTTAGTTGACAGAAGATTATCATTGATAGAGGTGGTCACAACCAAGGGCAGTGACCCTGAAGGATCTTCAAGTTCATTAACAGGATGGGTGGGACAAAGTGATTCTTTTTTCAGCCGGCTTAATATGCTGCCTTTGATAACTGAAGGACTATTGCATACAACATCACCTATTATGGACTGAGGAGGCATGTTTTCTAGCCATATCTTCAGCTGCAACAAATCACAGTTACAGGCCCATTTGTTGTCTTCCAACTGAAGGTCTAGTATTCTTCCAATGTGTTCCAAAAAGCCAACATAGGGCAGTGTCTGTAACTGGTTTCCACGGAGATCTAAATGGGTCAATGGCACAAAACGAAATATGTTTGGAGGAAGATACTCAATGGCATTATCATTCAAAATAAGCACTTTAAGCCTGTTGAGCTTGCTAAAGGCACTTGCTTCAATCACTGTGATGAAATTGTTGTCTGCTTGAAGAAACTCTAAATTTTCCAATCCATTAAACGTATCTTCTTTAAGTGTTTCCAAAGAATTGTGATTGATATGAAGTTGCTTAAGAAGGCTGAGACCATTGAAAGCTCCAGGCTCAATATCTGCTATATTGTTAAAACCAAGATGCAGAGAAATAGCATTAACAAGGCCAGCAAAATCATTCACGTGTAACATACTCAGACCGTTGTTTAACAGATTAAGATGGAAAGGCTGTGATGGTGGGACATTTATTTCTGAGATCATCTTGATGTCTCTTTTGTCACAGTTGATAATCAAGGTGTCATCCTTTTCTTCACAGGAACACAAACTCTGACAAGATCCTCTGGCTGAAGAAAAAGAAGGCTGTGACTGGAAAGGATCAGATGCAACCACAACTGAGCACAGAACAAAAATCCAAAGTTTCATCTTGTCCAGCAGATTCTATTAAAAAAAAAAAAAAAAGAAAAGAAATATATAATACAGTCATGATTTCACAGGGTTTGGGTTGTTTGTTTGGGGGTTTTTTGTGGTTTTGTTTGTTTGAGTTGTTTTGGTTTTTGTTTTTTGAGGTTTTTTTTCTTTTTGTTTTTATTTTCCCTGGCATAACAGCAAGAAAAAAACCATTCCTAGTGCTTGCCATTGAGCTACTTCTCCTTCTAAGTACTATCATATCATGCAAAACAATTGAATTATTTTCTAATTAGAGAATATAAATTTAGTTTAATGTACTGAATGAATAAACAGAGTCATAAGGGGAAATCTTCAGTACTTTCATGTTGACATCCAAAGTAGGATGTAATCAGGAGTGTGTTAGTTTTATTTATATACTGTATAGACTGCCAGTGGAAAGCAGTAATAATTTACTGTCCCACGCAACTTATATCAAAGCTAATATAGTATTTTGAACCATTGCTTTCTGGCACTACATAGCATGGCAAATATTAAGAGTACCTTGCTAAGATTAACTTAATGTTACCCAGCTGCTGAAGAGAAGAAATAAGATTTGGTTTGGATCAGTAACGTGTTGTGAGCAAAAGCCCATTCTTTCAGGATACAAGGAATCTCTCTACAGTTCTCCATTATGTATGGAAATCAAAGGGTATTTCCTCTGAAATCCTTGTACCCACAAGCTGAAAAGGATGTAGACAAAATAGTCATCTCTCTTTGCTTAAATTTTAACGCATATGTTTTAGTTTGTAGGTGAAATTGGTGCCACAGCACACAGTATGTAACATTTGCATGTAATGTATGTACAAAAAAATTTACATACATAATTGACATTAAAAAAAGAGAACTGAGAACGCAGTGCATGATAGAAAATCAAGCAAGCAAGGACAAACTTTTTTTGAGGTTAATATTAAACTCTTCACAATGATAATAATCATCAATTTCCACAGTGAAATGTATATGGACTTGACTGTGCTTTACAAATTAAAAATGATCACCAGTATCAACCATATGTTGTGTAATATAATTATCACCTTTCAATCTGATCTTAGACTTTGAAACACTTGATAAATGCATCATTATAATACAGCTATGGAGTTGTAAGTAAAATTCAGATGTTTAAGTCAGTGATTTAGTATTGGTTTGAATGAAGTTGCCCTATAGTCTATTAGAAGATTCTCTGTTTCTTTCTGTCAAGACTGCCTAACTAGGAAGACCAATGGTAACTTGATATATAAGATAGAGAGAAATCACTGTTTATAATCTTTAGTTAAGTATTTCCACATTTCAGAAAAAGTAAATAATAACAAAAAAATCCCTTAAAATGCAATGGATTATTTAAAAACCAGTAATGTTTATGGGGTGTGCTATTTATTTGAGGAGTGAACTAAGCAAGACTCTTAAGTGATCAATCTAATAAAGGTCAGAATCTTTCAAACTAGGCTATTCAAACATGAAGTACAGAATATCACTACACAACAAATTGTGTCATTTTCTGAATTATTAGAACCTTTTGCAAGGATCAATTCACTACAGACATGAACATTTTTATAATGTTGTCATATGATTTGGCATCTCATCAATGCATATTTTGAATATCATGCACCTTGGTTACTAGAAACACTATTTCTCAAGGTTTCCCTTAGAACAGATTGCAAAGCTTTACCCATGCAAGCACTTAAATGCTGTGGCATGAGTATTACACACACACACACATACAAAAAGAACAACAACAAATGTGTTCACAGTGAATTTTGGTTTTGTCCATGAGTAATTTCTGATAAGTGAGACTAGAAATAAGAATTTAGAAGTAGTAAGTGCAATTCACAGTGTTAGAAAAATTGTCCTTAAAAATATGAGCTTTAATCTTTGTTTCAGTGACTGCAATATAATTGTGTTTTCTCATATAACCCTCCTTGAACTCCAGATGCCTATGTTTAATATATATGTCTTTCAGTCTGTTTTCCCAAAAAGTATTGGATAAGACATATCATGGCAAGATGTTATTTTGAAGTATGCAGAATAATTCTAGGATCATATTATGCTAGAGACTTATTCTTGCTTTACATGCATCACTATCCTTTCCAGTGACCCAAGGTAAAAAATACAAGCTCTTGACACAGATGCCAGCTTCAAACCTATGCTATGACTAATTCAACTTTGTTTCTGTACATTTTTTCTCATTAGAAATTCCAGTGTCAATCCGCATCAAATTCAAACAACACTTATAAAGTCCCTGAGCAAAATTAAGCAGAAAAAAAAATCTTTAAGGCATGTTGCATTCTATTACATATTGAGAAATTAGGTTATAAAAATGAAAGCCCTCCTCTCAGAGATGAAAGTAACAACATTTGCAACCAATTGGAAAACATTCACATTTTAATCATCGTCATACTTCTGTAAGCAGCACTGCCAGAACTCTCTCACACACATATATATACCCACACAATAAAAATTAATAGGAGAGTTGCATTCTTTTTTCTTTCTGCATTTTTTCCCTAAACACTCAGAAACATGTAATGAAGTTCTCATTGGGCTACTATTGTAAAATAAAAACTGCTCTCGTGTAACAGATGAGTAACATTTAACTGGAAAAATTCCGAATACAACAAAATGTAATTTAAAAGACTTGAAAAAAAATCTTTTCATGTAGTGAGGTTTTTCAGCAAATTCCACATTGCAACTTAAGGTTATTTTCATTTTATCTGCTTTCATGTAAGTCACTGTAGACTGCATACTGCAACTAAACTCTGTAGGAATTCTAAAAGACTAAAATATGTCACAGTTCTTTGAGGCAAATTTGAATACTTCCAGAAGTAGTCATCTTACAGAAAAGACATCTCATGCTTGCTAAGTAATAATTGATTTGGTTTTAAAACATTGAGAGACCTTATTTCATTATGATTGGGTGCTTATTTGTTTGGCTGTTTTAATTCAGCTATTAAAAAAAAAAAAAGTTGGTGATTGTCAAAGCCCCAAGCTAAGAATTAGTAATTTCTAAAACCTTTTGTGATATTTTATTAAATTCTTAAGGGAATCACAGTCAGATGATGCATTTAACACCACTTTTGCACTTGAAATAAAACCAAACACCCATTCCTCTCCCTCAAGGGGTTCAAAACCAGTATTCCTTTAGTGCATATATTCTACACAGTAATCAGTTTTAATAAGTGTGCCCACAAGCTGTTTAAAATACAGTATAAACTGCCATCATTTAATATAAAAGTTATACAAAATCATGCAGAAAAATAAATGCAACTTGTACTAGAAGTGAAAGTCTCATGTGCTTAGCTAATTAACTAACTGGAGTCTTTCTTACCTGTACAGCAGCAACACTCCCTGGTACACTCAGTAATGCACAGTTGGAGCAGCTGTTTCCATGTAATGTAATTTTTCCCTCTGAAAAATGCACACTTCCTTCCGAGTTTCCTTTGCTGCAAGCTCCGGTAATACTACAGCTCCATGAAGTTAAAATCCTTGTTCAGAAGACAAAGTACAAAGCATTCGATTGAAAAAAATCCTTCAGGCAGCCGTGCACGTCAGACCATCCTGTAAGCAGTTGTCCTTTTTCCTCAATTAAAATTCACAGCATACTTCACAGCTAGGCTGACTTTTCTGCATATAGTTAACTGTTTGCAAGCATTTGGATGCAGTAAACAAACAAGATGCTCAGCAGAGCTTGACTTGATCACTTGATTTGTCAGATTTTTAGATGCAAGCTGCTCCTGTGTTCTCTCTGTTCTTTCTAGTCTTTCTTGTTAGCTCAGTTTGTTATTAGTCAGATTGCCAGGGGCTGGGAGGTAGGCGTAAATAAAGAGACTTCTTGGCTTTTGACTCAGCCTTTAAGCCCTTCCCCACCAGAGAGCTTTAATCTGCCAATGTCATTTAATACAAGATACAGCTCCACCTTGAGACAGATCAGCTCCTCCTCCTGCAATTTCTCTCACCTCCTTTTCCCCCTTATCCAAGTGAGCCTCGGAAAGTTAAATTCAGCTAAATAGCTTTTAGATTGCTTAAGGGCTGTTAATACACGATTTTGCAAAAAAAGAGCAAACATCCACTGCAGCTCTTGCAGTTTGCTCTCTTGGGCAGTCCTTGCATTTAGTTTGTATCTGCAAATGCTTGCTTTAGAAACCTCAAAGCATTCCAGCCCAAACAGACTCCACAAAACACACCACAAGAGAAACTTTGTCCTCTGGAAAATATGTCTATCACATTGAAGAGCAGATTTATTATATATATATAATATATATAAATGAGACTATAAAGCTCTCAATTCAGTCCACTCAGTGTGAATGGGGTAGAGGTGAGTATGCACACTTGTGCATACTTTGTTTTGGAAAAATAAAATCATGGAATATTAGTGCTTATGCTTGCACAATGACTGCCGTCAGCCCTTTTTAAAATTGCCCATCCTGCTCTGTAGGAAGAAGACTGGGTTGATTGTAATTGTCTGTTTTACAGATGTTAGCACAGTGTTGGTATCTGTCCATGTGAGATGGCATTTTATTTCCATTAAACACTGCTTTGATAAAAAACGGTCTGGTTTGGGGGAGGGCATTTGTAAAGGCACGTATCATGCTTAAGGTATTATTCTCTTTGTGCTCATAAACAAGTAATTAGCAGATACAGTACAGCTACAGGAAATGTTTATTCCGTGCAGGGACAGTTTTCCTTATCCCTCCAGCACTGCATGGATTGTTTCATAAGCAGCAAATGCTACTTCCTTGTTCATCCCACTGCCACAGAGTCACAAAACCTTTTGGTGAGCAACAATAGATGTGGTGCTCTAGCATATTTGCCCTGTAGAACATAATATTTCTGTTTTGTTTTTAGTGTGCCTTGGATTACTATACAGACTGTTTACTACAGCCTCCAAGCAGTCAGATTCCAGTAATTTCTTTTGCACTGATGGATCTCTAGGTGGCCTCATTGACCTCAAAAGGGCTGTTGCAATTTACTGTTGTGTGTGATGAAGG